ATATATTTGAAACTTTATTGAATAATAAATATCCTTCAAAAATATTATATATATATATATATATATTAATTTAATAATTTTTATTCCTTTCAAAGATAAAAATAAATAATAGGTTAAAAAAATATTTAGATACTAAAAACTTAATATTATTTAGAAATAATAAAACTAATTGATATATGACAAATGACATAGTCAATGCTTCACTACCATGTGGCTATGTGTGATCAACACGCTAACCTCCTAAGGTCACATTGGCCACACATGGTCAATAGGCGATAAATGATTTGAGCAGCTCATTAGTACCACGTGGTTATGTGTGGTCGATATGCCAACCGCCCAAAGCCATGACAACCTCGTATGGCTAATGTCATGTGTCTCAAAGAATGCTTCGTATTCGACATACATAATGCCACTATCATGATACGGTCCAAGAACGATGCGTGATCGCACTCACACTCATCGATAATTCTAAAAATAACGATTCTCAAATCACTTATAAAATAGGCTCTCCATGTGTATTCCCATACACTAAAATTTTTCTCAAGAGAGTTGTTTGATTAGTCCAAACTCAAAATAGACTTAACTATCGGAGGGACATTTGTTGGGAACACTCCTGACTTAGTTTTGTAGATTTGACTCTTCAATGTAGTGACTTAGACTAAGACTGACATGGGAAGGACCTTGGTTGGAACTGAAGCTAATTCCAACTTAGACAACTAGAATATGCACTAACAAATTGGCGTTAGAAAGACGACCTTATGAGATATCTCAAAGAAATTTCATAGGACCTTCGAGTTTAAATCATGATGACTTGAACAAATCAAACCCACCTATCTTGATCCTCTTAGGATTGGCTCAGCCTATACCATCAATCATACCTACTCCTCCCAATTTTCAAGTACCCAATTTCTTATTTTCTCGTCGACTATTCTAAGATTTCATAGCCAACCCACTTCCACTTATCTAGTTTCCAATTTCAACTCAAGCCAAAATTATACGAAAAGAAACTTTTCAATAGTCTGACTCGGTTTAATCTGAAACAACTCATAAGTATGGACTAAAAGATTAATTTTTGACTCCTTTACTCTACTAGTACCTTCGTGAGTAACTTTGAGTGAATGCCAAATATCAAAAGTTGTTTCACAAATAGACACTCGATTGAACTTGTTTTTATCTAAAGCATAAAACAAGGCATTCATAGCCTTGGCGTTTAAAGCGAAAGTCTTCTTCTCCAACTCATTCCAATCGTTCATTGAAAGAGAAGACTTTTGAAAACCATTTTCGATAATCTTCCATAACTCAAAATCCATATAAATCAGAAAAATCCTCATTCTAGTCTTCTAATATGTGTAATTCGTTTCATTGAATATAGGCGGACATGTAATTGAGTGACCCTCTTGGTTGCCGGTAAATGTCATCTCTCTTTGGTTTAAACCAAACGAGAGTGATCGAGCTCTGATACCAATTGTTAGGATCAAGAGTGGCACTAAGAGGGAGGGAGGCGCGGGGGGGGGGCGCGCACGTTGATTCCAAAAAATATTCATTTCGATTCAATCCGTTTCGGAAAGAAATTAAACTTGAAAGCTTTCGTAAGAGTGCAAAGAGAAGGTTAAGGAAGTTTGCAGTAATGTAATTGCACAAATAGAAAAGCAAACCAGAATTTAGAGTAGATTGGTCATTGTGACCTACATCCACTTCTGATTCCTCCTTCGTCGAGGTCACCAGCATCCACTAATGGTCTTCCTTTAATAGGGGAAGGCCAACCACCTCTTTATAGCGTTTTCTCCTTTTCACGGGTTTAGGAGATAACCCTTACAGGTCTCACACCTCTTTTGAATGATCTCAACACTTATAAAGGGAGGAGGAGGACTCTAGCACTTCAAAGATTCAAGATTTTGCCAACACTTCATACCCTTTCATACAGAAAAGGGTAGGGTATTTATAGGTCCCAATGGCTTCAAAATTAGAGCCAAAAAGTATCTCATCCTGATTTTTCGGGGTACTGGTGGTACCACCTCCTAACACCTGACACTGGGCGATACCACCGCTGGTAACATTAACTGTTGGTGGTACCACCACCCAGAACACTTGGGAGACTGGGTCTGCCAAGCGGTGCCACCGTCGACTATGATTTTAGGTGCTGAATGGGATGTTCAATCTGACTCAATTCAGCCCTGTAAGAGCCCAGTTGGCCCCTAACTAAGTTAGTTGGATTATCTCCCGATCCTAACTCAACTAATGTTCTAACTACGATTAAAGCAAGCAATTAGTCCAATATGTCGAATTTTCTTTCGACGAACTTCTCGGTGAAACTTCTAGCGAGTTTCTAGTAAACTCCCGATGAACTATCAGCGATCTTTCGACGAACTCTCGGCGATCTTCCGACGAGCTCTCGACGATCTTCTAACGAGCCTCCGGCGAACTTTTGACGAACTCTCGACGAGCTCCCGACACACTTCCGATACATCGTTCGAATCTTCAACTCCGGCCCATCATATGCTTTATGCCTTACTATTATTGTAGTTAATCCTGCACACTTATCTCAACACATAGATTAGGTCAAATAATTCACCAATTGATTTCATCATCAAAATCCGAGATTCAACAAAAGGTCTCCAATAGCTATTTTTTAGACCAATCATGAGTTTGATTAGATAACCTTTCAAACCTGGTTTGGTACTCTTGAATGATAGAGGTTTATCGGATCTTTGCTAGTTGTCTATCAATGTTCTCGTAATCGGTTGGTCCGAAGCGGATCAGCAGTCCTTCTTTGAATTATCGCCATGAGAGGACTCCATGAGTGTGCTCAAACTGGTCAAACTATGGTGTGGCATCCCCTTCAAGATGTATAGCCGTAATTTCCACCATAGATGTGTCACTAGTTTTGCGGTACCGAAAATATCGCTCCGCACGTGAGATCCAACCAATCGGGTCTCTTTCTTCCCATATAGGGAAGTCCACCCTCATATGTGAATAGTAGGGATCAGTCATAGAGCCTCCTCTCTCTTGGAAGTCATATCTTCGATCAGAGCTATCTTTTTGATGTGATTTCTTTGGGCTCGGTGGTTGGCGCAAACAGAATCTTATCCTTCATTGGCGTCTCGAAGGCTTTAAATTTAGTATTGATTGCCTCCTCATATGCCATAGAATATGCCTCCAAATTTATAATGTTAAGATCTCTCTTTTGTTGTCGGATTAAAGACATGTATCGGTTGAGAGAAGTGGTAGCTAAAAGGGTTGGTGGATTGGTTTATATAAGAGCAGAATCATTGTCGAAGAAACAATGGTTTCACGAAGAAAATTCCAGCAAAAACTAAGAGATTTGAGGAGGAAATTTGATAGCAAAATCTTGGTTTAGATATGAGCAATGATGAAAATTTTGATCAAGAATATTTCGACAGTATAATAGCAAGGAAATCGGTGCAAGTTGTGATAGCATAATTCTCGTCAAAAAATTCCAATGGTTTACAACGAAAATTTACAATAACACAAGAACGTTTTTAGAGATGAATTCCTCGATAGATCAATCTTAGATGGAAGCTAAGACGATCTACGAAGCGTATAAGAAATTTTGTTCAAAAAATACAAATAGATCGATTAAAGGCAACAATATGTGGCTGAATTTTTTTACAATAATCCTTCGTTCGCAAAGATAATAACATTTACAACGAAAGGAATTTGCAGCACAAAATAGATAAAAAGATTTTTTCTTGGTATTTGAATGGAAAATTGTAGTAGTAAAAGGTACTAGTGATAGGAGAATACCATATCTCTGAAGCAATTGGAGGTGACGATAGTAGATTTATTTGATCTACGGTAGAAGATGACGGTGGAGATGATGATGTCAAGAGCAATTGTAGGAATTGAATGGCTGGTGGTGAGCGGTAGGGGTGGCAAAAAAAGCAATGAGATTGCTGCTCTAATACCATATGATAGAACCCTATAGAAATTCTATGTAGATTGATCTTTGAGAGGGATCAACTCTTAGAATACTATAGGGGTTCCACCCTCCTAAAAGTTGGTCAAATGACTGTAATTGTGGATTGATTTTATTCTCAAAGAGATGGAGGCTACATGTTTATATAGGGCTTCAAACCCTAGCCCTATGGGCTGCTTCCTAAGGGAGTTACCCCTTTTGGCCTCAACCCTAGTCGATTAGTCCAGTAAAAAGGGGGTGACGACTAGAAAGCCCAAAGGCATAAATATAAACTCTAATAATTTTTTTTTATAGGATAAAGCCGGTTAGATGAGGTTTATTATCATTTTACAAGATTTTTATTAGCTATTTCTTGATTGAGTAGAACCTAATTTTACTAGGGTCCTTAGTTCCTATCAAATGTCAATCATTTCCTTCTCACGATTAATCTTTATGCCCATGCTTACGTCGAGAAATAATATCCCACTCCGTCTCCTTTTCCCTGTCCTTTAATTTCATTTTTTTAACAAGTGTTCACAACAGCTACCTTCAGTTAATATGCTTCATCGTCTCCTTTTCACAGCAACTCCCCTTCTTTTTCTTCTTCGTATGACTCCTCATTTGATAAGGGCTACATATAAGGTTAGTAGACCAAATATTTGTATAGTTGGTTCACAAGGCCTGCAATATGCTTGGATACTAGTTTACTAACTACATGACCCTAGTTAATTTAGGTTTACCAACATACGAAACTACAAAGATGAAATTAAAAAATTATCAATGATAATTTAAGCCAAACAAATTATAAAAGAATATAAACAAAAATATAGATATGCTTAAATCAACATTCTTGCAGTATAATAATCGCTTGATGACATGATTAATTACTATATAAAGCAAAAAAGATATTAGAATTGATAATTCACTAAACATGAATACAAATAAAAGGAATTAGTATATGAAATATCTAAAACTTAGTATGAAATGGGTTAAGATAATAGCTTAGAACTGGTTGCATGATCATTAAAAATTTTGAATGCTAGTTACTGTTAGTAAGTTATTTTGATGTATCTGCAACAAGATAAACCTTACATGACTATTTGATACCAGGTTTGAGAGTGCCTTACATAGTGAAACCAGTGTATCGGTAGAATGAGAAAAATCACAATTAAATTATATATGACTATTTGATAGGTATGATAAAATTCCATTAAAAAGGCCTCATAGTTATGATAAAATCTACATTAAAAAGAACTCACCTCACATGAATAAATAATTCAATACTTACTACTACAGCCACTGAGGAGATGGATCACACACAAAATATTATTTTTATGATTTAAACTTTACTGAGGTAGATCACAAGCGTTTGATCCTAAACACGATGAAAGCAAACGGTGGGGATCGAAATGTTGCCGATTGGAGACGGTGGCGGACCCGCATCTTGGGGCCCTCGGTGGGCCCTGAGAGTTTATTCCGTCCAGATAGCGGGTAGGATGGTGGGGTACCGTTTAACGGGCACCAAAAGTATTAATTGCACGTCATAACTAGGGTTTGTTCCTCTGCTATAAAAGACCCTCTCGCTTGGCTATGTTCCCGTCTTCCTCATTAGCCGTCGTTACATAGGTGTTTGGAGTTAGGGTTCGTCGGGGACTGCGATTCTAGCGAAGGGAGAGAGATGGGGCACTCTAACGTCTGGAACTCGCATCCGAAGAACTATGGCCCTGGATCTCGGGTTTGGTAAGCGATTTCAGATTGACCGTCTCGTATCATCTCCAAATCTGATACTTTTGTTGGTTGAAATGCATGAATCTTTTGTTGTTGCTCAAACTAGATACGGCTCCTTCTTTTGAACGTTTTCAATTTAAAGATAAAGACGTTTCAATCGTTCTGTGGCAAATTCATTGTGGACCATTCGGGTTATTTATCGATATGTCATCTGCTAGATTAATTAATATCAAAATCCGGATATGCGATGAAAAACGTTTTGAGTCATAGAGGTTTCAAGAGAACTCTTCACGCGATAGGCCTGTTTTAACGTCTTCATTGTATTGTTATTCATGTATTGAAACTTTTTTTGTTTCTACAGTGGGTAAAGGGATTGATCGAGAAAGATTTCTTATTTTTATTATAAGATCATGATTTGATCCTAATATTTTTGATAAAAAGAATAATCTTTCCCTTTGATCATAAATGGCAAGTGTTTAATTGGAACATGAAAACGTTATTTGATTTGTCTTAGTTACTCTTCGGGACGGAGTGGAATAAGGGAGGAGATTCTCGAACGAAGAAAAGGATCCAATTACTTCGAAAGAATTGAACGAGGATCTGTATTAGTGTAAAATCTCATGGTTCTGTAGAGTGACAGTAAGGGTGACTTATCTGTCAACTTTTCCACTATCACCCCCAAAAAACCAAACTCTGCATACGGAAAAGTGTCAAAGTATGATTAACCTCTGGATTTGAAATCACTGCTTATATACCTGGTATTGGCCATAATTTACAAGAACATTCTGTAGTATTAGTAAGAGGAGGAAGGGTTAAGGATTTACCCGGTGTGAGATATCACATTGTTCGAGGAACCCTAGATGCTGTCGGAGTAAAGGATCGTCGACAAGGGCGTTCTAGTGTGTTGTATATTCTTATTCAAGACTTGTATCATCTCTGATGTTGTTTTATTGTTTTTTTTTTTGTTGCAGCCGGGTGTGTGGGAACCCCCATGGACTAATCAGGAAGTATGGTCTAATGTGTTGCAGACAGTGCTTCCGCAGCAATGCTAAGGAAATTGGCTTTATTAAGGTACATGTACAGTTTTTTTTTCCATTCTGATAATATCTTGTGGATTCTAGCTTTCTTTAACGAAGAAGTTTGTTTGGATGATGTCTGTCTTCTTGGAACATATGATGGTTTACTAGAGAATCAGTCATGATTATCAGTCGTAAATTAAGATGTTGCTGTCGTATCGAGTCCATCATGGATATGTAATTATAGAAGCTTCTATGTTTGATCCCAACATTTTCATTCATTCTTGGCTATGATGGAAGAGGATTACAGCCAAATTTATTGTCAAGCTTTTTACTCTTTTGCTCTAAGAGGCCTTGGATGTGAAATATTTAGAGATTTTAGGACCTTTTTCTATGGTTTTCCCCACTACCATCACCATCATCCATTCCTGATCTTTGCAATAAACTTACCTGCATGCACTTACATAAGCATGTAAGTTCCACTCTCCATTGTTACCTTCCGCTAACTGCAGATGAAAATCCCTGGTTTGGACTGTAACCCCTTAACAATCTATGGGAGGAACATTTTTTTAAAATCTTACCTTCATGTTGCTTTTTACCTACATATTCATCTTGTGTTTTTCTCGAGTACTTTTTTTTTTGTACTCATCTTGATCTGAGATCATTTTTTATCTATGGCACACTCTGCTCTGGGGCTTTCTTGAATGTATAAAACTTTAATGACACCCAAAAGGTTTTGGAATACTTTTCTTATCCACTGGTTCAATAAAGTTATATAAAAGCAGCTTACTGAATATTAAGATGAGCATTTTTATGATGATCCCTTAAGATGTTGGATTTTGTGTTAATTGAGTTGTTTTCTATTGTAAGATGTACAATTTTGGGTTTGTGTTAATTCGTCTGTTTTTTATAGTTAACTGTTTTGTGTGTCAATTATGTGTTGACATAAGAAACAATAATACAATTAGTTTTAATTGATTGAATTAAATCCATCAATATTTGGCCTTGGACATGGTGAGGCATTTTGACTGGTCCCTGGTCCTAGTTGGGTCTAGGTTTCCACGTTCAAAATCTGCCTTCCATCCTTGTTCTATATGTTGTAGTATCCATTGAACAATTAAAATATATATGTCTCCACAAATAATAGTAGGTCAGTCATTGTATATATCAAGGATGACTTACTGTCTCGTTCCATTTGTTTGTTTGCCACATGTTAGTGTATTTATTGTAGTATCATAGGATCCTGATTGAACATGTGGTTCTATGTGCTTACCTTCTATGTGAAAGACAATTTTAGGCAATGCTATTTGACTTGTCATAACATAAGTGATACATCAAGGATGCAAGCTTCCGTTCCTGTTCAGCCTTTTAATGGCTGTCTGTAATTCATGTTTTTCTTGTGCTGCTGATATCATGGCTGTCTAAAACTTCCAGAGGCTATTTTAATTTTGTTAAAATTGGTCAAGTACTTGGTTCCCATGTCATCCAATCTAAGTTTAAGGGCCCTTCGGATGGTATAAACAAAAGTAGAAGCCTTATGTCCAGTGGAATGGCGAAATATTTAATTATTTGTTTCAGATTTGCTTTTTTTTTTAAAGTCTAATCTTACATTCACAAGGGAAATTAAATTCTAGAAGTGTGATTTCACTGCAAAATGGAGCATTGTTCTAAAGAAATGTTGTTTTTATTGGCACAGTGTTTGGAAACTGAAGTTCTATCAAATTAAATAAGCACTGGAGTTTATATGAATATATTTTTTTTGTTCTAAGGGAACTGAATACAATAAGATATGCTTGTGATGCACATTGCTAATCTCTATATTTGTTTCTTAATTTTGTGTATTTTTGTTAAGGATGTGGACCTTTATTTCATTAGTATTCCTATTGTTTTTGCAGTATCGTTGAAAATATTGGGTTCACCCGAGGCAGACTGCTGAATGAACTACCACGCACCAGAAGGCTTTTACTTATCGTGGAGTCGGACCTCTATGCTTTGCTTTTAACATTTTTCACTTATTAAATCTTGTGATTTTGTTTGACCCATATACTTTAGAGTATTTTTTAAGGTCTTCCTTTCCAACTCATGATCAACTGTTTAGCACCTTTTCATTATGAGATCTCTATTGTCTACTGCTGGCACTAGTTTGTACTAGTTTGTACTGGAGTAGTTGGTGTCTGGTAAGTGTGCCTAATTCATTAGAGATCTTTGTGTAATTGCAGTCCCTACTGCTACCTAAAGAAATTGATGCCTCAACTGGTCTGGACAGAATTGAACCATTCTTATGGCATTAAATATCAGCAAGGATTATATGGGCACGAGGAAATTTTTACTTCTCTCTAGATTGTTGTCCTATAGAACACTTGCAGCTATAGGTTAACTCTTTGGGGTGTAGAATGATTTGGGGTTCATGTGACTGCATAGGCGAAAATATTGATATGAATTGGTTTGCAACGATCAGAATCAATGAATGCAATGAACGATAAATGGGTTGATATTGAGTTGAAATGGTGTGTGCGCCCGCCCATTCTCAACTTAACTGATTGATACTGCAGTAAACGATAAATGTGTGTGATCAGAATCAGTGATTGATATTAACGACAAATGTGTTGTTGCTATGGTAAACAACGATCAATGATTGCTTAGAATGGACTCAATTCTAATTGCTTTTAAAATTGTGCTAATCATCACGTGCCCCCTCAGATCATGTAATGTGATCCAAAATGATGTAAAATTGGGCCTGACATTTTGATTGCGATAAATGTGTTGATTTTGAGTCTAGATGGTGATTTAGAACATGTAAAAATGACTTTTAATAATTGTGCTAATAATGGTATGCTCCATCAAGTCATCAATGTGACTCAAAATGATCTAAATTTGGGCCCTGATATCAGCAGTAAGAGGAATTATGAGATGTAGCAATGAAGAAAAAGATGGCACCGGTCAAGCCTATGCTACAGAAGAAGGACACGATCAACACCTATGTAGCATACTAAATGCACTTTCCAAAATCAAATAAAACTCATTAAGCTGTCGATCTCAGCATGACATGTCTAACACGCCATCACGTCCTCAAAACGTTTTAAGGCATCCTTTCATGTCAATCGCGTCCCGATAGATACCCTTTCTAAACGCGACCGCTAATCCAATCCTTCAACCATCTTTTCGTGTGTAAGTTTGTATCTGGGTGACCCCTTTTATAACTCGCATTAAGGTGGGAGAGGATATATATATATATATACATCTCATCTCATGTGTAAGGAGGATCCCAAAAACAAAACAACTAATGTTTTACCATGTCATCAACCACATTGAGCAGCTTCATCATGTTGGATTCTGTCCTGCTACGAACAAACGAGTCCTTGGTGTGGGTCTACCGCATTGAAACCAAGGAGCCAAAGACCATGGGGTCTCTCCACCTTCACCCAGGACGACCTCGAGCCCACCCCTCTCTTGTGACCACATGGGGAGGCCAAGAAGAAGGGAAGCAGCCATTTGTTTGCTCTCTCTCTCAAGATTAGCGAGTACACAGTGTACAAGTGGATCGCTGCTGCGGCCTCGTACTTGTCGTCCTCCATGCCCGCTCCGAGTCGAGTCGAGTTGAGTTGAGTGGGTGGTCTGCCTTGTGTCGCATGAAATGGGCGCAATTATTGTGGCCGTGACGCTAACCTACAGCCATTGTCGTCTTGGTACGACACCTTGTACCTCTTGTGCCATCTTTAATTTCTCTCATTTATCTCCTCTCAAAGGATGATGATGGATCCTCCGTGGCTGCAAAGGTCCAAGGATGGCGAGAAAGACAAACATGGTGCATTCCTGGATCTGACATCTGTGCACGAAACATGAAACATGGTGAAAGTAATTTTGAGTTCTACTGCATCATCATTCCACTTCTTGCGAGACGAGATGAGAGAGAGAGAGAGCGAGCATCTTTCTACGTATCCATCACCGACTAATCAACTTTTGCATGCCTTTGTACTCCACCGTTTTGTCGTCGCTCTTGGCGTCCGTAAAATGACGGGGCGGAGTACAATTACAGCGATGCGAGAGATCGATCATGTGGGGGCGCTGTGTGTGTGCATCATGTCGCTACCATTACCAAAGAGAGAACAAAACAAGTTTGTGCTCTTCTGCAGCGACTCCTCCCCCACCCCCCCATCACAAACCGCACTTGAAATAAAAATCACAGACCAGATTATGAGTTTTGATCGAAAAAAGTTCGATCTTAGAATTTGATTTATATAATTTCTCAAAAGCAGATCTCTAAATTTAGACTAATTGCCGACCCATCTTCTCGCATTTATCTTTATGGAACACAAATCTTTTGAGGAATTTGGATTTTTTTTTCCAATCTAATTTATTTTAGCTAATGTTGCTCTCATTCTTTTTCATTGAAAAAAGCATAACATATAAATTGAATGCATAAATAATATTTTGGTTTAACTAAATTTATGCTTTTTGTTGCATGATTTGAATAGAGTGGAAACTCTAAGCTTGATTCTATTCATCATGTTCATCGGATCATTATGGCACAACCCTCCCTCCCTATTCATCAAAAATTACCTTCTCAGATGCACAGTTGTGATCTCATTCTATTGACACAAGTTGGCCCCATCTTCTTGGACTGTCCCCGGGCATTAAACAGTACCTCCAAAAGACAAGCATCCTCCGAGAAATCGATAAAAAGATGATACCCGTGAAATGGAACTTAACATTAGCATGTTTCTCATTCTATATATCTCCATCTTAAGGGGTAGCCGAATTCTTAATGCAAAGGTCACGCGCATAGTACAAATATGTTAGAGATTGTTGGAGTATCCACATATTATTAGCTTGAGTTACACTTCAAATGACACACAACTAATATGCATTGCCACCAAACACTAATACATTTTCCAATTTAATCTTGTGATTGATTTGATACCACAAATCATACAATGAAAAAATATAAAACCCTCTCACCTCCAAGTTAGAACTAAAGAAATGTGAATGGAGATGGCAGGCAGAGTTGGCCAAGGCAAGAAGCAAGTGACCTCCAATTATGGCATTTCTTGTCCCCTCTCACCTCCAAGCTCTCCACCACCACCACTTCACAAAATACTCACCCAATCTTATTTCTTTTCTAATCCATAACAATTATTATTTGTTCATTGTCACAGGCACTTCATGTGGATCTTGTTATTGCTACCACATATATCTAGAGAAAGTGAGAAGTGGGTGGGTGATCTCAAAAATAGTGGAAAGCGAGTTTAATCAGATCAAGTTTACTGAGAGAAGTCTATAGTTGGTCTTAAGTTTGCACAATTATTAGGGAGGACTGTTCAGATGTTGACAGGCTTAAATTAAAAGCCATGAGACGAAGACTGATTGCATCTGCCCACAACTTTACAAGGAGGGATGGGAATACAATGGCCTACATTTAGCATGGTAGAGACATCACAAGGTTTAGACAAGTGAGAGAATAGCATCTTGCCAATTGATTAAGCTGGTTTTTAGAAGATGGATTAATGTAGGAAGAGATACTTGCAATTATGTATCATACAGTTTGCACAATCATGCATGTTGGCTAATATACTTATGACTAGTCATGTGTAACATTTTCGATTTATATTTATTTATTTTTATTTTGTTTTCCTTCTTTTGTTCATCCATCATTCCATGAGATTGATAAGCAGGAGTTCCCAATCGATTATGTATCATCATGGGAGAATTCTGTGGTATTTTTCTATGTTTTGTCTTCAAGATAAAAAAAAATCGATGACATTTTGAAAAATGAAGGTTGTGTAAGATGAATGTCATGGAAAATCAAAAGAAAACAAAGAAACAAGAGGAAGGCTTCATACCATAAATGTTCATCCTCACATGTCTTTTGGTGAAATTTTTTTCATGCATATACAATTTCTCTAACTTATTTTTTTATTTTAAGGAATTCCTATTGACTATTTTCCTATATATCAATTCCTTGAGATGCTTTTTCAGTTGATACAAGTCTAATATCGAGACACCTAGTGACCATTAATCTCAGATGTAATGTAGATTGGTGACTGTGTGACTTCACAACGATTGCCTTGGTTCTTAACAGATGAACCAAACTCCTAGAATTGCTAACGCTAATTATTCTCAATCCACCTTATCAATCCATGTGCCCGTCAAGGTTCTATTTGGACAAATTAGGTGTGATCTATATCCAACTTAATGAGCCAAAGCATAGTCCATGCATGATGGAGCTGTCAGCTGCTCCAATTATTAGCCAAACCTCATCATGTTTATCAGTCTTGCCTATAGTTATTTCTTCAACCACCAATCATGGATTCCATATGGTGTCTCCATCATGGAAGATGTGGTTAACAATGTTCCCACCATATACCTCACTGCTCATAAAATGTTTGTTCTTCTTGTGTCATCCGGTGAACAAGTGTTTTGTTATCCTGTGAACTTGACAGGCAGTTCTTTCTTGCATGGAGGAGAACCAGACAAAGATGAATGCACATGAACATGTAAGGAAGCAAGAAAGGCTTGAGAAACTCATTGTTAATGAAATCTCAATGCTCAGAACTTCCACAGGAAGAACTTTAGTCGGCCATGGTTAGCTGGAACTTATTTTGCCCAAGAACAAGTACAATTAATAGGTGGGGAATTTAGGAGGATGGAGGACTCAACCTTCCCTCTTAAATGTTAGGGTCAACTCCTCCCAACCAAGCTAACTTCCTTCCTCGGTCCACCCTGATTAAACACCATGATTATTATATGGTCTTTGTTGTAACAAGCCTGGCCAGAATTGTAGCAGCATCATTCTCTATCTCCATTAATCACTGTGTGTCTTGGTTGGTAAGGGATGAAGCCTGGCTTCTGCTCAGCCTCTCCTTTTTGGTCCTTGGGGAAATAATAAACACAACTTTGTTTAGTTTATGGATTAGAGAAGATTGGTTTAGTGTTTGAATATTAAGATGAGAAGTTGAATTAATTTAGGAGGTTCAATAAGATTAGGTCACCTTTTTTGTGGCTTAGTGTCAAATATAATCTATAATTTTCTTAAAAGATGAAGAGTTTCCTTGCAATAGTTCAAACTCGAAAACATGCTTTCATGGTTCTCCCTCCATGTTTCCAATTTGATCCTCAGAACACATCCATCAAGCTGCAAGACACGACTGAACTCGTCGGAATTGCATGCTATTAAGACTCATCTAATTCGTACATATTAGGTTCTCTACCCAATCCCCATCCTCAACTCAGACCCATGCAGTTGTCGTGATCCTACTCAACCTAATCCCAACACCAATCTCTTCCGATTTAAGGTCACTATTTGGCTTTTCCCAACAATGAGATTTGATTTGTAATTAGGGAGGACATGATAGATTCTAGAGAGAGAACAAGACAAAGAAGAAAACATATATATATATATATATATAGACACAAACACACACACACACACCCCCTTCCCTTCACACAATTGAAGCTCACTCATAAACTCACCTCCTACCAACTTCACACATAGGAGGATCACAAGAAAGGAAGGGAGATCTGTTTCATTTCTCTTTCACTACTGCTCCTTTCCTCTCCCTCATGCTTTACTGCTTGCCTCACACATGATTCAGGAGATTTCAAGTGGAGTGATGATAGGGTAGGAGATCAGTAATAATCCAAACAGGTTACGAATGAAAAGGCTGTGATTTTTGTCACATTCTCCCCTTTAGAAGTACTCTTCCTTTTTCTCTTTTACATCATTACAGTAGCAGTGCCGAACAGCGCAACGTATTCTGCCAAGGTAATATAATACTCTGGTAGAAGGGAATGGAGAGGGAAGCGTCCGTCGTCGTGGTTAGAGAGTACAATGCGGCGAACGATCGGGCAGCGGCGGAGGAGGTCGAACGGACGTGCGAGCTCGGTTCGAGCGGCAAGATGTCGCTCCACACTGACCTCCTCGGCGACCCCGCTTCCCGCATCCGCCACTCTCCCACCTATCTCATGCTCGTACTCTTTCTTCTTCTTCGTCTTGTTTCACGTTCCTTGTTTCTTGTTTCCGTCGTCGAGCTTCGGGTGATGAGTGGTCGGCTCAGGTGGCGGAGACGTGTGGTGGAGTGAAAGAGATCGTCGGGCTGGTGCGCGGCTGCGTGAAGGTGGTCACATGCGGCAAGAAGCTCCCACGACAAGGAGGGAGCACCAAGAACACTTGTCAGGTGGCGACTCCCACTTACACCAAGGTTGGCTATCTCCTTGGTCTTCGAGTGTCTCCTTCTCATCGGTAAACTCCTTATATCATCTCTACCAGTTACTGCTCTCTCTCTCTCTCTCTCTCTCTCTCTCTCTCTCTCTCTCTCTTGTATTGATGATAACAATGACAGGAGGAAGGGAATAGGGTTGAGGCTGGTGAGGCAAATGGAGGGATGGTTCAGGGAGAAGGGGGCGGAGTACGCTTACATGGCCACGGGAAATGACAACGAGGCATCGATGCGTCTCTTCACAGAGCGATGCGACTACACTAAGTTCCGAGCTCCGACCATCCTGGTCCACCCGGTGTTCGCGCACCGTCTCCCGGTTCCCCGCTCCGTCACCGTCCTCCGGCTCGGCCACGCTGACGCAGAGGCCATCTATCGCCGCTGCTTCGCCACCACCGAGTTCTTCCCCCGCGACATCGACGCGGTGCTCCGCAACCCACTCACCGTCGCGACCTTCCTCGCGGTCCCGGCGGGTTGCAACACCGCGCGGCAGTGGCCAGGGGCGGAGGCGTTCCTGGCGGCTCCACCGGGATCGTGGGCGGTGACAAGCGCGTGGGACTGCGGCGGGGTGCTCCGGATGGAGGTGCGGGGGGCGTCGCGGCTGCGGCGGGGGGCGGCGGCAGCGACGCGGGCGGCGGACCGGGCGATGCCGTGGCTACGGATCCCGGCGGTGCCGGATCTATTCCGACCGTTCGTGGCGTGGTTCCTGTACGGGGTGGGAGGGGAGGGGCCCGGCGCGGCGGAGATGGCAGCGGCGGCGTGGAGGGAGGCGCACAACGTGGCGCGGGGGTCGGCGACTGTGTTGGCCGCAGAGGTGGCGGCGGGAGACCCGGTACTGCGGGGCATACCGCGCTGGCGGTGGCTGTCGTGCGCGGAGGACGTGTGGTGCGTGAAGCGGCTGGGTGAGGAGTACAGCGACGGCGGGGTCGGCGACTGGACCAAGTCGGCGCCGGGCGCGTCCATATTCGTCGACCCCCGGGAGCTGTAACGCGATCGATCCGCTTCCATGTCGCCTTTATTATCTTCACTGTCCGATGGGGTGAGCAGCTTTTGGTTGGAGGAGGGAGAAACCAGTAACGGTCTCAGTCTTAGATAACGGGAATCCCGGGGAAGACAGTTGGCACAGCAACGGTGGCTTTAAACATATACACCAAATCTTTGCCCCTCCCATTGCTGTCTCCTCCATTTGATCTCGAGACTAAGAAAAGATTTGGATTCGAATCTATTTCCTCTGATCTCAATCTGATTGCAATTTTTCGTCTTCAGTTTCTGTCACTGCAATTATATATATATATATATACACACACACACAACTTAAAATTAAATGCAATAGAAAAATAATATAGATAAAAATAAATATATAGAAATAATATTTTACTAAATTCTCATAGTTAGCAATATATTCCGATAAGTATTTCTTGAGTCGAAGGTGTTGGGAAGTTTAGGTGGTAAAGATTTGATTATTTATTGTATGATTTCAGATTTGAATTATTGAGTATATAAAAAATCTTACGATTATTTTATATTTAATTAAATTTGTAAATCAAATTGTTTTTGCCTGATTTTTTTTTTGTATAGTAATAAAGTATATTTTCCCCAGAGGAGGGGTTTCATAATGGATATGATTTTAATCTAAGAAGAGCCCTTCAAAATGAACTGTCAAGTGTAGCATATTTTTTCTCTCTCTTTTTTTTTTTCTCTTTGTTATTGAGTGAGATGTATTGTTCTTATTATGGTAGAATTTCCATTCATGCATACTGTTCTATTTGATGGCAATCCCTGGATTTCCTAAAGATCCTAAAACAATTGAATTGTGTGTCTTGAGACGAGACAAATGAAATGTATGCTGACCGCCACTGATCTTTATGATATTGAACATTATGCATGAATGGAAGTAAGACTAAGATGATGCAAATTATCCCAATTCTTAACTTCTTAATATTTTCCTCCCAATTTTGCCTTGCAAACACAAAATATCATTATTTCTTTAAATAAATACCTAAAACCATCTTACTGTCTTAACTCACTTTCCTTTGTCTTTACTTGTGTCGAGTATTTAATTTCTCATTTTTCACTCAGGCCTTTAACCTCACAAATTTAGCATTATCAAACGTCGTGCAAAACTTCACATGACAACAAAAGTTATGGTGATGATGAACTATTCAATAAAAGGATAAGTCTCTTTAAAGATGGATGTTGAAAAGAGAATGATGCAGCAGATAAATTTGACCACGTCAATTTTGACTACTGGTCTTTGAGTTGGTCCATTCTGCCGGTGGTGTGAGTAATTTAGACACATGAAGAAGCTTGGAGAAGTGCTGACTGGCTTCAGGCTAGTTGAGAAGGGGAAAAGCTGCTGCTACATCCTGAGCAAGAAGAGCTTGCCACCTACAATGGTGGTGGACTGACTGGCTATTGAATCACTGCAATGTGGCTTCTTCCGTGAGGAACTAAATACACATTGCAGTGAAGACAGGGCTTTTTAAGCCTCGACGTTGTACCATCGATTTACCTTCACATGGAAACACAGCTAAAATTTAGACTGATTTATAAGACTTTAACTTCAATATTTTAGATCGATAATTTAAATTTAATATAACTAATAAATAAATTATTTTATTAGATATTAAAGTATTAATATTAGAGTCGACTCAGTGATACGATGCATAGTATGCATTTATTATTTTGAAATTTGTTATCTTGAAACTTAGGAACATTCAATACTCGTTATGCATTTTGTTATTCTCATAGAAAATTTGTCCGCAAGTTATCATCATTATTGTCATGATAAACTGATAAATTTTGAATATTAAATGTGGAGTGAGTACAAATATTAGGAGGAAGTCCAACCTTATAAGCATTGTTAATTTTCTTAGTTTATACTGGAAAACTCTTGTTTTCATAAATACCCAAACAAGATCTCATGAATTTTCTTAGTTTAAAGATCATCACATGATGCTGCTTTTTGGCTCTTTTTTTTTGTAAACTTGGTTGCTAGCTTTAAGCTTCTTCTTCTTTACTTCATGAATTTTTATCATGGTAATAACAATATCTAGATAATGAGGTGAAATACAATCATAAATAATCTGAAATGAACTCTTGCTTAACCACAAAGTTATAAGCAAATGATATCCTATTATTTTAGTCTTTTTGTAGCAGAGCATCGTAATAGATTATCCAAGGTTCTATTAACAATCTCAATTTGTCCATTTGTCTAAGGATGATAAGCACTACTATATAATAGGTTTGTATCAAATTTCTTCTATAAACTTTTGACTAAGAAATTTAATAACTATATCTAATGCGATAGATTTAGGAATTCTATGAAGTTTGATCACTTCATTGAAATAAAAGTTAGTAATATAATAAGCATCCATGGTCTTTTTGTAAGGAATAAAATGTACTATTTTAGAAAATCGATCAACAACAACAAAAATAAAATCTACACCTCTTTGAGTTTTCAATAGATCAATCATGAAATTCATACTAATATGATCCCAAGGAGCATTAGGATTGGGAAAAGAGTATATGCACCAAGATTTTGAGTTTGCCCCTTTGAAGTTTAGCATATTTTACATATTTCCATATGATGTATAACATCTCAGTAGATTGTTTGCCAAAAATATCTTGCTTTGATAATAAGTACTATTTTGTCTCTTTAAAAATAACCTCCTAATCCACCAAAGTGAAGTTCTTAGATAATTACTCTCTTACAGAATATTTAAAAATATAAAATGGAGTTCCACGAAAGAGAAAATAATCTTCAATAATATAAACTTCATGACGACTCTTCATGCATAACTTTTATATTTCTTCAAAATTTTTATCATTAAAGTAAATATTTTTTATTTCATCAAATCCTTTAGTTGGGTTCCCATAGTATTAAGAAGTGCTAATCATCAATTGAGAGCATGTGCAACATTACATATTTTATCCTTTATACTTCAAGACAAAAGTATACTCTTGTAAAAATGTCACTCATCTTACATGTCACCTATTGATATCCTATTATTTTAGTCTTTTTGTAGCAGAGCATCCTAGTAGATTATCCAAGGTTCTATTAACAATCTCAATTTGTCCATTTGTCTAAGGATGATAAGCACTACTATATAATAGGTTTGTATCAAATTTCTTCTATAAACTTTTGACTAAGAAATTTAATAACTATATCTAATGCGATAGATTTAGGAATTCTATGAAGTTTGATCACTTCATTGAAATAAAAGTTAGTAATATAATAAGCATCCATGGTCTTTTTGCAAGGAATAAAATGTACTATTTTAGAAAATCTCTCAACAACAACAAAAATAAAATCTACACCTCTTTGAGTTTTCAATAGATCAATCATGAAAACCATACTAATATGATCCCAAGGAGCATTAGGATTGGGAAAAGAGTATATGCACCAAGATTTTGAGTTTGTCCCTTTGAAATTTAGCATATTATGCATATTTCCACATGATGTATAACATCTCAGTAGATTGTTGGTCAAAAATATTTTGCTTTGATAAGAAGTACTATTTTGTCTCTTCAAAAATGATCTCCTAATCCACCAGAGTCAAGTTCTTAGATAATTACTCTCTTAGAGAATATTTAGAAATATAAAATAGAGTTTCACAAAAGAAAAAATAATCTTCAATAATATAAACTTCAAGATGACTCTTCATGCATAACTTTTATGTTTCTTCAAAATTTTCATCATTAAAGTAAGTATTTTTTATTTCATCAAATCATTTAGTTGGATTCGCATAGTATTAATGAGTGCTAATCGCCGATTGAGTGCATATGCAACCTTATTACATATTTTATCCTTATGCCTCAAAACAAAAGTATACTCCTATAAAAATGTCACCTATCTTTAATATCACCTATTGAGATTTGTTTGAGAATTTATATGTTTAAGAAGTTCATGATCATAATTTAAGATAAATTCTCTTTAGATCAAATAAAGTCTCCAATGTCATAGTGCTTGAATAATAGTATAAAATTCAATATCTTGAATAATTCTTTCTTGTATTGTTAAGCTTTTCACCAAGAAATATAAGTGGATATCCTTCTTGGCTAGATACTCCACCAATACCCATATAAGAGGCATCACAATTAACTTCAAATATTTTAGAAAAATATGATAATACAAGAGGACTAGTAGATAATTTTACCTTTAGTAATTCAAAACTGTTGTTCACCATTAAAATACTTCTTTTTTTATGCAATGGAGCACACTAGTATTAAAATTCTAAATAAATCGATGATAAAAGGATGTCAAACTATGGAAACTCTGAATATCTTATAGCTTTAAATTTTCTTAGAATCCACTTGAATACCTGTATGGGTTAAAATAAAGCCTAGAAAAGCAAAGCTAGAGGTCATGAAGGAATATTTTTTAAGAATTACACAGTTTTTCTGTCTTCAATGTCGATAGGATAGTTCTTGATCAAGTTTATTGTGACTATAAATAAGAATATCATCAAAGTAAACAACAATAAACTTCCTAATATAAGAACTTAGAATTTGATTTATTACCTGCATGATGGTGCTCGAAGCATTTGAAAATCCAAAAAGTATAATTAGTTATTTACATAAACATTCTTGAGTCTTGATGCATTCATCTTTTAGTTTAATATGGATTTGATAATAACCACTTTGAAGATCAATCTTAGAAAAAATTTGAGTACCACCGAGCATATCAAACATAGCATTCACACGTGGAATAGAAAATATGTACTTGATAGTAATCGGATTGATAGCTTGATCATAAATGCACATCTATCAAGTTTCATCCTTCTTTGGCGTCGGTTGGAATGACACACAGGTTTAAATTTTCTCAAATATAATCCTTGTGAAGTATATCCATAAGTTGTTTACTCAACTCTTCATATTCTTTTGGATTCATCTAATAGTGAGATTTGTTTGGAAAGATTGCTCCTAGAATTAGATCGATTCGATGTTGAATGTCTAGAAAAGAAGGCAGAGCACTAGGAAGTTCTTCATAGCAGATGTCTTTGAATTCCTCCAAAATATTCTTTTTGCTTATTATTTATTTAATATTTTTTCTCACTTTATATTACTCGTTACATATATTGTGATATCCATAGATCTGTGCAATAAAAATTGGATCATGATGAGATCACGATAATGAGACCGATTCACTTTTAAATATAGACCATAAATAATCTTGGTCATAGGTTACTCGAGAGAGACTTTGAGATAATCGGATAGACTGGT